AGTTCCCACCAAGCGTACACCTAACTTGGTAGCAAGTGAAACTGACAGTCACAATGCATGTACAGGAAATATGGAAACATTTATTGTATATGCAGTGAAATGGAACCCAAGGGAGGCACCTGAACCTTCAGCTAATACATTTATTATTAAAGAATGAAGGTAACCATTTTGAAATACCGACTTCCAGAAACCTCCCGTACCTATTTCCCCACATGTATTGCTTTCATTGAACAACTACAGAGCGCTTTAAAAGCCAACGTGTTTCCTTAATGATTGTTTGACCTGTTTGGATTTCACTAACAGTAAATCCAACACGCTGCTCACATTCCAGGTGTTCTAAACTTTATTGTGATCTTGAAACAGATCAGAATTTGATCTCAGGTTAAGTTATTCTGCAGAAAAGCTGAAGGTGCATTGTCTGCTTTCTACAAAGCGATGCCACAGCTAATATGGGCGTGGTGTTAAACAACTAGCTGTGCAAAAAGAATGTGTGCAGAAGTGTATCTATATGGTTGATCAGTGGTGTCAAAGAGGAAAATGTTGGTTTGTGGTACGAGTGGAGTCAGAGGAATAATTAGATTTACGATCTTAACACAAATATAGATTTGCATGAACTGGACACAGCAACCTTTGTTTACTGTTATTTCTGGAGAGGTGTTGTCACAACCTCTGACACATTGGCACGGATACACGGACAATATAAACAAACATAAACAGTTACCACCAAAACCAGTGGAACACCAGCAGGTTGATATTATATGGTGCAGATATCATTAACATTATGTTGGGATCATGTGGTTCTGGTTTAATCACAAAAAACCACAGAGACTCAGTGTTGAGATAAAATGATTTTTAATGTTTATTCTATGAGTAAAATGTTGCAAAAAGTAAATTTAATTTTTAAACAAAAAAGGATGTTAAAAAATTAATGCTTTAGAAATATTTAGATTTTTTAAAACTTTGAAGATTTTATTAATTAAATTCATAGTAATCATAATCATAATAATACTAATAATTTTAAACAATAAAGCATCACAGATAAAAATAAAAAAATGTGTATTTTATACATTATTGCTTCATATCATTAGATTTTAAACTAATTAAAAATGTAGCTGAATATAAAACATACTGATGTAATCGATGTTGTGAATGAGGGTTTAGAAATAACTGAGTTGGAGATTTTCTTCTCTTGCATCATGTTCATAAACTTCACTTCTGCAATGCAAACAAAATGATGATGTTGGTTGTGTAAAAGAAAATTCAATCAGAAACATCAAACGGGAAAAAGTCACGTCATTTATTCTCTGACTCATTGCTTTTTCCTAGCCCAGTCACGCGCCTTTCTTCACGAGTCGTGCATCACGCCGACGTCTGCAGTGGAAAAAATGCAATGGGGTCAAGAAAAGAAGTAGAACTGATAATGACTGCGCTCAGTCTAAACTCATAACATCATTAAAAGCTGCTCTGAGCCTTTTGTTCTACGCAGGTCATATAAACAAGAACATCATCTAAAGAAGCATTATGACATAAGCTGAGGATGTTGAACTAAACAAACAGAAAGGCTCAGTTCTCAATCTCTAGAGCCGTGCTGCTCAACAATGCTGGCATTCATTTGAACAGAAGTGAACTCTCTTTTCTCAGGGCTCAGATAAAGTACAAATAAAAATCACTGTTGCAATAATTAGTGACCTGAAAGCAAAGCACAGCCACAGAAACTACAGATAAAATGACAAACTTTACTTCCCCAAATTATACAGCTCCCACATAGTTCCTCCTTAACCAGCTCCCAAACGAGCTGAAACTCTGCTGAAAAGAAAAACACAATACGATATAAATAAAAGTTATTAAAAGTCCCCCAGGCAAGGGCGTAGATTTGGTTTTGGCATTGGTGGGGACAGATGATTCAACCATCGAACCCTGCCCTGTTTCTTTTTCCCCCCTTTTTGTCTTTGCTCCTTGATAAAAAAGGAGAAATATACTTGCTATGCTATTCTACATGCTTTTAAACCATTTAAAATTACAATTCATAGTTTTACATTTGAATTATATAATGTTAAATTACTATTAAACAAATGACTGACTAAGTATTTTAGAGTTTAGTTTACTTCAGCCATATTTCATATAAATCAGCTATCATACAAACATAAAAAATAGCTTCAAATACAGTCATGACAATAAAAGAATATGACTTTAAGGACTTAACAACATTACTTCAGTTATAGTACACCAACATCTCTTATATACAATAGCACTAAGGGAACACTGAATGACCTGGTGGGTTTTGTCCATAATACTACTCATCTAAGATTACCACAAAGTAAAAGATCTCTCAGCAAAATGATGCAACAGTTTAGGCACTATTGCCCCGATCAAGTCAGTGAGCTGGGATGTTTTTATTCCAAACATGAACTACTGTTACAGCAACAGACATGGACTACTGCTGTCCCACACAACAACTCAACGTCCACTATGTGAAGGGGCCACACACATGCCTTCTCCTCTTGTTAACTGAGATAAACTGCTGGCATATTGGTTTTACATCTAAACTGTCCAGTCTCTTCTGGTGGACATGGCATACAGCAGCATTGTTTAATCTCATTCGAGTCACTGTTAACCTTACCCATCTTTTTAGTCTTCTGAGAGCACTGAAGCTTCTTTTAGCCTCAGTACATGCGTTTTATCCTCAGATTAAAAGTATTATTATGTGCTTGATGTGCCTCACCTTTGGCCCTGGCTCTTCCCCTCTGACTGCACTGTCCATTTGTGCACT